CCTCCCCCGAGAATTCTTATTAATGGCTGAATAATATTCCATTGTATGGCTATATCATATTTTGTTTATCCATTCACCAGTTGATGGACATTTGGGTTGTTTCTACTTTTTGTCTATTGTGAATAACTGTGCTGTGAACATTTGTGTGCAAGTTTTTGTGCAGATACCTGTTTTCGTTTCTTTTCAGTATATAGCTAGGAGTGGAATTGATGAGTTTGATGGTAACTCTGTGTTTAGCTTTTTGAGGAACTGCCAGACTGTTTTCCAAAGTGGCTGCACTATTTTACATTTCCACCAGCAGCATGTGAAGGGTCTAGTTGCTCCACATCCTCACCAACTCTTGTTATTAATCTCTCACTTTATCCTAATTCAATTTCCTTATTTAAATAAGAAAAATATCTTATCCTTTTATCCTGAAATTCAGCTTATAAAAAGACCTCATTATATATTATGCTTTTATATAAACTTTTAAAATCAAGTCAGGATAGTTTCCACAGAAATTCAAAAGAAATTAAACATGATGAAATCATAAGTCATAGGATGTGATTTTGCACCTCTGTGGTTTTCCCTCAAAAGACTGTATGCAGCCTCTTTGTGTTTGCTCACTGTCGTATCCCCACTGCCCTGAGCTCAGTTCATATCTGTTGAATGAATTAATGAAGAATTTCCAAAGGAGTAGACAGGACAGAGGATACCTAAATTGTAATGCATTTAGATTTGGGTTACTATTCCCTGTTGCCTTAGGATCTTTCACAAGCAAGCCTAACACTTGGGGATTCTGTCCAGTCTCTAAGACCCGTCTGTTCTCTACAGGTGCTCCTCAACTTACGATAGGGCAACATCCCGATAACCCATTGTAAAGTAAAAATATTCTAAGTCAAATCATCATAAGTTGGGGACGGTGTGTATTTGCTTCCACTTCTTATCAGTTTCTTACTCTGATTTCTCCATGTTTTCTCCTGACACACTATTTCTGCCTTTTCTAACTGGAGCTATTAAGTTTTCAACAATGTAATTGAGATGTTTTGTTATATAGGTAGTAGCTTAAACATATAGGTAGTAGCTTAAACATAGTATCAGTGGACTTGAAGAGGACATCAGATTGCCAATAATTTGTTTTATTTTTTAACAAGGATTTGGAAGGGCAGACCGTCGTTATAGCTAGGCAGGTTCTGGGAAAACATCAGTTTTTTTCTTGCTATTGCAACAATCATAATCTATACTGAAGTAGAGTGAACTTTATAAAGATATTATATTTATGTAGTTAACAGATATTTATATATTGATTTCTTTGTTCTAGTTACTCTTCTAAGGACTGGGGATATAGTGAAAAACTATATACAAACCTTTGTCCTCATGTTACTTATAATTTAATGATAGAAGAAAGAAAATAAATACATGTCAGTGGAATGCTAGGTGAAAATAAGGCAGAAGAGGAAATTTAATAGCAAAGAATGACATGTGTGATATGATTTTATTTATGGTGGTCGTGGAGTACACTTAAGACTTTTTAAAAAATGTAGCTGGGTTGTGAATTAAGTGAGGAAGTTAGCCATAGGGTTATTTGAGGGGATAGTTTTTCAAGACAGGGAACAGCAAAAGCAAAGACCTTCAGACAGGTATATGCCTGCTTTTGTTTAAGGAATAGAAGGGGGGCAGTGGGGTTGCGACAAGGTAGAAAAGGAAGAGAGTTAGTAGATGAGGCCAATCACAAAGGGCTTTGAAGGACTGAGGGACATGAAGACTTTGTATTTTATTCTGGATGAAGTTAGAAAACATTTGGGGTTCTAACCAGAGAGAGACATAATCTCACTTAAATCATTCTGGTTACTGGGTGGAAAATGGACTGTAAGAGCTAGAGGAAAAAAGCATTTCTTCTCAAGTAATAAAAAGATTAGAGGTAGGAAATCTACATGATAGGATCAACACAGTAGAGTGGATGCATCAGGGAACCAGGCTGCTTAGATCTTGTTTCTCCCATATCCTCTGTATGTAGCGTCTGCTTCATGGTCCAAGATGGGTATTTGTGCTCTACCCATCATGTCCTCATTCTAGCCTTTCTTTAAAGACTTTCTGAAATTTATACATGATAACTTGGCCAAAATTTAGTACCATGGCCATGCCTAGCTGCAGGGCGGCTGGGAAATAGGTTCATTAATCTGAGCATTCATTTGCCTGGTCAAAAATCAAATATCAAAGGATTTAATTTTTGTATTGTGACAAAATATACATATTTTAAATTTACCTTTTTTTTTGAGATGGAGTTTCACTGTGTCACCCAGGCTGGAGTGCAATGGTGTGATCTCAGCTCACTGCAACCTCTGCTTCCCAGGTTCAAGCAATTCTCCTGCCTCAGCCTCCCGAGTAGCTGGGATTATAGGCACCCGCCACCATGCCCAGCTACTTTTTTGTATTTTTAGAAGAGATGGGGTTTCACCTGACCTCAGGTGATCTGCCTGCCTTGGCCTCCCGCAGTGCTGAGATTACAGGTGTGAGCCACTGCGCCCAGCCATTTTAACCATTTTTAAGTGTAAAATTCATTGGCATTGAGTATATTCAAAATGTTTTACAATCACTATCCATTTCCAGAACTTTTTCATCTTCACAAACAAACTCTGTTCCCATTAAACAGTAACTCCTCATTCTCTCCTCTCTGCAGCCTCTGGTAACCTCTATTCTTTCTGTCTATATGAATTTGCCTATTCTAGGTATCTTAGTAGAATCAGACAATATTTGTCCTTTTGTGTCTGGCTTCTTTCACTTAGCATAGTGTCTTCAGGGTCAATCCACGTTGTATCATGTATCAGAATTTCATTCCTTTAAAAAAAAGCATTCTCTTTTAAGGCTGAATAATATTCCAGTGTATGGCTATACTAATTTTGTTTATCTGTTTTTCTGTTTGTGGACATTTGTATTGCTTATACCCTTTGGCTATTGTAAATAGTGCTGTTATGAACATTGGTATTGTCATCTTTTTGCTTATAGTCATCCTAGTTAGTGTAAAGTATTGCAGTTTTGATTTGCATTTCTCTAATGACTAATGATGTTGAGCATCTTTCCATGTGCTTATTGGCCATTAGTATGTCTTTGGAGAAATTTCTATTCAAATCATTTGCCCATTTTAAAGTCAAATAAAGTCTTTTTATTGTTGAAATGTTGGAGTTCTTTATATATTCTGGATGCAGCTCCCTTATCAGATATAGGCTTTGCGAAGAGAATTTTTAAAAATCCATTGCTTTGTTTGTAGAAGTAGTCATACATACTAATGGTAATCATCTGGAAAAATATCATAAAGTATAAAATCAAAAAATAAGTAATTCCTAATTACAGTGGTGCCCACTGTTAATGTTTAGTACATTTCTTGTCATTTATTTTTTCTGGTCACATATGTGTATATTTTAAATAATTGAAATTATCCTCAATAAAAGCTTTGCATCTTACTCTTTTGACCTACTGTTGTGAGAATTTTGACAAAACATAAGCCTCTATAACATTTAAAAAAATCCTGAGTGTCTATTCCATGTCCGATTCTGGGATCAGAGCTGATGCCACAAAATGAACCATCTGCAGTGCTTCCTCTGAAGGAATAGCAGCTTGTTCCATTAAATATACAGGTATACCAGTAGTTACAAATATGAAGTGATGGGTGTTAAGACCCCAAAATGCTATATGTGCACATAGCAGGGAGTACCTAGTCCACTTCAGAGGGGTTTAGGAAACTCTTCCTTGAAGAGATACAAATGGATCTAAATCTTTAAGTGAACCTAAGTAGATGGAAATGATCACAGAAGGAACTGCGCATGCAAAGGTGTAGAAGCAGGAGAGATTGCTGTGTGCTGGGGACGACGTGTACTTCAGTGTTCCTGGCTGGGCGTGGTAGCCCATGCCTGTAATCCCAGCACTTTGAGAGGCTGAGGTGGATGGATCACTTGAGGTCAGGAGTTCAAGACCAGCCTGGACAATATGGAGAAACCCCGTCTCTACTAAAAATGCAAAAGATTAGCTGGGCGTGATGACATGTGCCTATAATCTCAGCTACTTGGGAGGCTGAGGCAGGAGAATCGCTTGAACTCAGGAAACGGAGGTTGCAGTGAGCCAAGAATTGCATCATTGCACTCCAGCCTGGGCAACAGAGCGAGACTCTGTCTCAAAATAATAATAGTAATAAAAATAAATAAAATAAAAATTCCTGAAGCTCAGTGTGCCTGTTGGGGAGATGGGGATTATGATGAGGAGCATGGATGTTATTTTGTCGCCAATGGGGAATCCATGGGAAAGACTGAAGGTAGGCCTGGGGAAGACACAGAAAGGGGCTGAGAAGCTTTGTGGAGAGATGCAGGATGAGACAAGGAGAGAAATCCCCAAGGGCTGTGGAAATTAGGCTTTAGGGATTGGAGGAAGAGCCCAAGGAAGGACCTCCCTCCGGGATAGGGCTACCTGAGAAGAGCCCTTTGTGTCCTCAGAACCTGGTGATGACGGGAGAGAGGAGGCTGTCCTTCACTGCTGTGGCCCTGCAGTGTCAGAGGCCTCAGCTCTGCCAGTGAGGGGACCTTGAGCCAGTCATACACCTTGCCTCTGATAAATGGGCTGGGTCTTGAGCCCTGGTGCTTCTACCAGTGAAAGCCTGTCAGCAAGAGGGGGAGGAGGGGCAGTGCTACACCAAAGGTTCTACAGCAGTAATTATCTTTCCTCAGAACACATATGGTTTCAGGGGTTACAGCTCCCAGGAAGCCTGTCCTTAGACTCCAGATTGAGAACCCTGGTCCAAGGAGTGTTTTTCCCCATTGGTAACTTCCAACTTAGCTAAATGTTTGTTGGAAAATGAGGGGCTTAGCCCTAATGACTATAATTTGTAATTTTAGTAGTAATAGATTGTTGAGATTTTACTCTTGTGCTATTTTAATTGTCCCTGAAGGGGCTTTTAAAAATTATTCTTGTTTATTTGTTGGAAAAAAGGTATGCTAATAAAATATTCTTATTTTTTTCTCTTTCTTTATCAGGGATGATCAGAATTCCAGTTTTTCAAAGGTAAAAAATATTCATACTGATGGATTCCAAACACCCACACATTTTATAAAATCAAATTTTAGAAAATTTATTGAAAAACCTTACATGGTAAGATCGCAGTTCCAAAATTTTCATTTTTATAATTTCTTCTCCAATATATCAAAATGTACAGGAATCACCAACATTTTTCATTTTTGTAACTGTTCATTAAGTACATAAGATTCTGTTGATGCTTAAAGTTATTATGACAGAAGAAATGGTCATCTCTTACTTGATTTATTAGGACTTTATTGGATTAATTTAATAAATATAGCTTTCTTAAGATTTTTTGGGGGGCCAGGTGCAGTGGCTCATGCTTGTAATCCTAGCACTTTGGGAGGCCAAGGCAGGAGGATTGCTTGAGCCCAGGAGTTCAAGACCAGCCTGGGCAACATGGCTAGATGTCATCTCTACAAAAAATAATAATAAAAGAAAAAAATTCAAAAAAGATGATTTGAGAACAACTCTTAAGATCTTTTTGAACATATTTATTAAGGCATAATTTACATACCATAAAATTCACCCATTTTAGGTGTACAATTTAATGATTTTTAGTAAATTAACCAACATGTGCAACCATCACCATAGTCCAGTTTTAGCATATTTTCATTACCCAATATGAGCCCTCATGCCTGTTTCGTTACTGCCTGTTGCCAACCCCAGCCAACCACTAATCTACTTTCTGTCTTAAAGATTTGCCTTTTTATAGGGCAGCTCACAAAATGGCAGCTAGCTTCCATAAGAACAGGCAAGTAATGGTAAGAAAGATGGAAGCCAGAGTCGGTAACCTAATTTCACAAGTAAAATCTCAACCTTTACCATATTCTTTTTGCAAGAAGTAAGTTCCTAGGTCCTGCCCACACTTAAAAGGAGGGATAATTGGTAGGATCACTGGGAGCCATGTCAGCAGTTACCTAGTACAGTCTGGCCAGACTCCACAGAAAGTAGAAATAATAGAAGGTGATAAGACTGTTGATTTTAGAAAAAGAAAATCATCTTGAGAATGGACCCCACCTTTTCTCTTTTCACCAGAGGATTTAGGTTCTTTATAGTTACAGACTTACTAATCTAGTTCTTTCTCTTATTTCTGATACTTTTCTAGCCATGGCAAGAGCATCACCTCAAATCAGTTACCTGAGTCAGCAAAACCTGTGTCCTGCAATGTTGAGGATTTGTGTTCTACTTAGGCAGTAGGAAACCCTTTAGCAACTCCTGATAGTAGTATGTTTATTTCTCTCCTAGGTGCCTGAATCAATGCTAGATGTATCATTCATCTTCTCACATCCGCCCATTATGTTTGTTATACACGAGTATTTCTTATGCTTGTTACAGGCATAAATGATCCTGGCCCCTCACAAACTAGCATGGATCATGTTAGTCAAGGGTCAAGGGTCATGTTAGCATGGGTTATGTAGATGTGTATATTCTCCTACAGCTAAGCTCCCTGCTCTCTGCTTTCTGTTCTTAATCCTGTACATTTAAAATATGTTTTCTAATGGTAAAACAAGCTTTTAAAATAAGTTTTAAGGCTATTAACCCATACTACCACTTTTTTCATGCAGAATTATCCTACGCAGAGAAAAGACATAATTACTCACAAACCATTTGAGGTTGAGGGAAACCACCGAAACACAAGAGTAAGACCTTTTAAGGTATTGAGTGTTGTTTTCCATTTAATTCCGGCTTTGGTTTTATGCTGTGGACATCATGTTTTAAGTGTTAGTAAATTAAGAGCTGTTTTGTAATATGTTTTCAGATGGTAGGTATAAACTAGTATTTCTGGACATTTATAGTCAACCGTTATCAATTTATTGATAACCCCTTTCCTTAGGACTTGATTTTCAATTTTTTTTTAACCAGGGAATCCTTTTCCAAATACAACATGGAAACAAAAATACGTGAAACAGATGCAGGTGGAGTGGCTTTAGGTGGGAAGGCAGGCAAGGTTGTAGACCCTCCCTCTAATCTAGCACCATTACCTCTAAGGTATATATGCAGAGCTGTAAAGCTTTCTCCAAGATTCACAGATTGAAAAACCTGCCATGGGCACACAACCCTCCAAGGCCTTCTGTATCATCACAGGAAGATGCTGGTCCTGGTACCTTTGTTAAAGCATATTTTATCACACTCTAATTATTTGTACATCTATGCCTGATATGAATGATAATTTTTAATCAACTAATATGTTTGATTATCCAGAACACCTCATCTCCCAAATATATGGAGTAAGAATTATTATATTTCTTTTTTTTTTTTTTGAAACAGAGTCTTCCTCTATGGCCCAGGCTTGAGTGCAGTGACATGATCTCAGCTCACTGCAACCTCTGCCTCCCTGGTTCAAGCTATTCTCCTGCCTCAGCCACCCAAGTAGCTGGGATTACAGGCAAGCGTCACCATGCCCACCCAAGTAGCTGGGATTACAGGCAAGCGTCACAAACCACCAAAATTTGTAGTTTTGGTAGAGACAGGGTTTCACCATGTAGGCCAGGCTTGTCTCGAACTCCTGACCTCAAGTGATCACCCACCTTGGCCTCCCACAGTGCTAGGATTACAGGCATGAGCCACCACACCTGGCCCAAGGTATATTTCTGGCACCTTGCTCACAAAAGTTGAAGTACTTTTAAAATCAATTTTGACAATTTATTGCCTATAATAGGTACTTTATTAATATTTTTCCACTCATATTGTCTCCCTCCTCTAAATAAAGGAAAGAATTTGAGCCTTTTGTGTAAAAGTGGCAGGAAAGCTTGATAGAGTAGTTAGCTCATTAGGAGGAAGTTAGTATGAACAGGAAAGTAGTATAAACTATCCCATATCCCAAAATTATGGATTAGAAGGATAGTTGGCCATAGAATATATATGGATAGTTGGCCATAGAATATATACATGTTTTATAACATCTTTTGGTCTCTTGAGTAATGGAACATCAAATCAACTGAAAATGTGATATCTGCATAACTTATAGACAATATAGTTGGGCTTTCAGATCTAAGTGCTTCCTACATGTGGTTCTCATTGGTCAGATATAGTTGATTATAGTATTTTTCTAAGATCATCATAAGATTTATTTCATGTTACCTTTTTCCCTTAAGGGAAGATACTTTAACATTAATTCATAGAAAAGTGTTTTCGAGATGCATGTAATAACATTACCTCTGGAACAATCACTTAAAGTTATATAATGTTACATGAATGCTTAGAAGTGTACAATTCTTTGTACACTTAGGAAGGAAATAATCCTTCCTAAGAAAAGGAAATATTTTGGCTGGCTACTGTAGCTCACACCTGTAATCCTAACACTTTGGGAGGCTGAGGCGGGTGGATCACTTGACCTCAGGAGAGTTTGAGAACAACCTGGGCAACATGACAAAAACCCATCTCTACAAAAAATACAAAAATTAGCTGGGCATAGTGGCATATACCTGTAGTCCCAGCTACTCAGGAGGGTGAGGTAGGAGGATTGCTTCAGCCTGGGAGGAAGAGGTTGCCATGAGCCGAGATTGCACTGCTTCCCTTAAGCCTCAGCGACACAGTGAGAAAACCTGTCCGAAAAGAAAAAAAAAAGGAAATGTTTTGCTAAAATTTACTTTTTACACGAATTGAACACGAGTTCAAAGCCAGATAGTAAAAACCTTAGAAGACATGTAGAAATGGACCTTGTCAGTCTCAAGATTAGCTCTGATGTGTCAAGTTTGTGCAGATAGTCTTAACATTAGTGTCCCATTATAATTCTGTTTTACCTGAAATTTTCTGTAGCCTTAAGAAAATAATTGAAAAATAGGACTGGCATAAATTTTTTTTTGTAAAATTATGCACTTCATTATGTGTGACATACCCATTTCTGAAATAATTGTGAAAGAGGAATCTGCTTAGTTTTGTTAACCACTCCATTGTAATACATCATTGTGCATTTGTTTTCCCAATATGGCTCCTGATCTGTTTCCTATTATTAAGTACTCTGAGGATGGAACTTAAATGAACCAAACACTAAATTTCAAAAAGAATAATATCAATTTCTATGGCCAAGTCTTTGAAAATTATTACAAAACCTAAACATTGTACTTGTTCTATTTAGATGTCTATATATTAGGCTCTAATTTTAAAGCCGTAATTCAGTCTGGCATACATTTTGGCTTTCACTAAATTAGTAGATTAATATTTTTGATGTTATGGGTCTTGCACAGCCAGTTCTGCCCTTTCACAACTTCATAACTGTTTTCTTTTTAAAAAGCAGCAGCAGCTCCACCAACAACTCACCTGGCTGAGACCCAATCTCTTTTCCTTCTTGTATTGCTTTAGTTGCTGGTTAATCTGAACTTTATTATCAAAGAGGAAACAAGGAGGGTTTGAAGAGGGTTGTTATTGAATGCAGCTACTGTAGTGTTTGTAAACAATTTTATTGACTTCTTTAGAGGTTAATAGTGTATTCAACCTGATAATCGTTTATTTAGGAGTTATTATTGTTTAGCTCTTCATGTTGAGGAAATCTTGACTCATATGTGGCTGGGCACGGTGGCTCACACCTGTAATCCCAGCACTTTGGGAGGCGGAGGTGGACAGATCACTTGAAGTCAGGAGTTTGAGACCAGCCTGGCCAACATAGTTAAACCCTGTCTCTACTAAAAATACAAAAATTAGCTGGGTGTGGTGGCATGTACCTGTGGTCCCAGCTACTCTGGAGGCTGAGGCAGGAAAATCGCTTGAACCCAGGAGGCAGAGGTTGCAGTGAGTGCAAATTGCACTACTGTACTTCAGCCTGGGTGACAGAGTGAAACTCTTATCTCAAAAAAAAAAATCTCGACTCATATCTGTAAAAGCGTGTAAATATTTATTCAGATCCTAACTTTCTATAAAAGAAATGTGTTTTTGTTTGTTTTTGTAATTTTAGCTTCTGTTTTCAGCCTTAATTGTTTACAAATAGTAAACTCTTTCCCTGAGACATTCTAAAAGGGGCCACTATTAGCTTCATCCCATTTGATTGGACCCTGATCGTGTAGTAGTTAGAATGTGACTCAGGGATGTTTTTTATTGAAAGCAAACAAATAATTTGATTTAAAGACAAAACTCTTCCCACACAACTTTGTGATGAAACGTTTATATATAACTAGGTTATGTTTTCCTTTTTACTTCAGAAAATTGAGAAGATTAAAACAAATCAGCAGATAATAAAGTTTATATATCAATCTTGTAAGTAAAATTCTCATTTTATTAAGAAAACACATTTGGGAAGAAATTTAGTATGCAATGGCTGCTATTTATAGATAGAGAATTCACAGCTTTTATTCTGACCTTTGTACCTACCTAATAAATGAACACTGGTTGAGTTCTTAACTCCTGAGTGGTGAGGCGAGATGGAAGAATAAGACTTCCTGCTTGTGCCATTCAAGCTAAATGCTCTTTTGTGCTCTTCAAGCATGAAGAGCCCTTTTCCTGGATCTTGGTAGACTCCTGTTGGCAAAATCGGAAGGAGTAGCTGCCCCTCCCGTGCTCAGACCCAGCATCTCTGCTAAATTGTCAGCCCCTGAAGGAAAAGAGGTGGATCTGTTTATTCTTTGTACCTTGCATATAATATTAGGTATGAATTTTGTTAAACAAGCTCAGAACAATTACTATGCCTGAGAGAGTACGCTGGGTCACCAAAGTCTTTCCTTCTCTACCATATCTCTCTACTTCTTAGAATTAGATTTCCCAATATTTAAGTTACATTGAACTGGTCTTGTTAAAAGTTTCATTTGGCCCAGGGTTTTTCTTCATATGGCTTCACATTTATTTTCCGTAGGAGAATTTACTTGAATGATTTGGGGGAGAAATCCCTTTCATAGCCAAGAGCTTAATGCAGCTTCTTCCATTAAGTTGGCAAGTAGCTGAGGTTTTAAGATTTAGCGGGGTAGAGATAGACTCCATCTATGAACCTTTGCGGCACTGCTCCCATCTGTTTTAGATTATCCTAGAAGGATGCTTGGAAATGCAGGCAGACATGAGCGGTATGTGATATGGGGGAATGAGGGAGGGTGATTTGGAGAATTGTTTGGGAAGGTTTGGAGGGGATCAGTTCACAACTGACAAAACTGAGGACTGTTTTCCTCTCCCACCTGGAGCAGTGAATTAACAAGGGACTGTTTCTCTTATCAACCACCTGGGAAACACACAAATATTCATTGTCCTCTTATCTAATTAATGCTGGACAGTATGCAGGCTAGGAAATATTCTTTTTAAGTAATGGGTCTTTTGTGGCAAAGAAAGATTTGTTTGAAGGTTATTGACAGAAATAAAGTTAAAATGAGTTTTTGATCCTTAAATATATATTGATACTTTATATCTTTTCCCCTCATTGGAATTTGATAGATTTCACTATGGATCAGAAGAATAATTTTAGTTCATTAGAGGTTCTGATAATTTTATTTTGTTAGCATGGTGAATTTCAAGAATTAGTTTCAAATTCTTTTCTTTTTTTATTTTTTTGTAGAGATGGGGTGTCGCTCTGTTGCCCAGGCTGATCTTGAACTCCTGGCCTCAAGTGATCCTCCCACCTCAGTCTCCCAAAGTGCTGGAATTATAGGTGTGAGCCACTGTACCCGCCCTCAAATTCTTTTAACTTAGTTTTTAAATTTGGTATGATGTAGATTTTTTTTTTTTTTGAGTCAGGGTCTCGCCCTGTCACCCAGGCTGGAGTGTGATGGCACAATCACAGCTTACTGCAGCCTCTACATCCCAGACTCAAGCTATCCTCCCACCTCTGCCTCCTGAGTAGCTGGGGTTACAGGCATGAGCCACCATGCCCAGCTAAGAATAAAAAACTTAAACATATATATATATTGATATGTAAAATGAGCTAGGAAGCCAGTTTGAGAGAAACATACTTTCTCACCATCATTAACTCTTTCTCTTTTAGTATCTATAAGGCCTAGAATCCAGGACAGCTCTAAGTACCAGACAGTTTTTCATCTGTTGTTTGTTTTTGAGGCAGGGCCTCACTCTGCCACCCAGGCTGGAGCATAGTGGCGATCTTTTGTGCTTTTCAAGCATAGAGAGCAGTTGCTTGCTGCAACCTCCACCTTCCAGGTTCAAGCAATTCTCCTGCCTCAGCCTTCCAAGTAGCTAGGATTACAGACACCCACCACCACGCCTGGCTAATTTTTGTATTTTCTGTAAAGACAGGGTTTCACCATGTTGGCCAGGCTGGTCTCAAACTCCTGACCTCAAGCCATCCACTTGAGGAGTTTGCCTCGGTCTCCCAAAGTGCTGGGATTACAGGCATGAGCTACCGCACCCAGCCACTCACTCATCTGTTTACTAATAAAGTAGACTTGGAAGGTGTAGTTTTAACATTTAATTCCATTTTTTTCCCTTCACAGAGCAACTTTAGAGGTGGCAGATGCCAGCCCAATTATAAATCAGGCCTGGTACAGAAGAGCTTGTACATTCAGGCTAAGTATCAGCGTTTACGGTTCACTGGCCCAAGGGGATTTATCACTCATAAATTCAGAGAAAGATTAATGAGGAAAAAAAAGGTTAGTTGAATTATGATGATTTAAAAATGTTGAGTGACTTTTAAACTCCTAAATTATCTATGTTCATTAGATAAATTGGTTTTTCATTTAATTTTAAGAAACAACCTGGGTTTTTAAATGTTCTTATTGCATGATAGTTGCATAAGAACTTCAGAGAGTAATGATAATACAGTTGTGAGATTGCGCAACCTTAAAATGCTTTTAGGTATTATCCCTCAAATACTTTGCTAGCTGTTTGAACTTTTGACTTTAGATTTTCTATTGTATGGTTAATCTTTGAAATGGAAACTCAGATAAAGGCTTTTAATTGATATGTTTTAGTCTTACACAATGGGAATTTTCTGAGCATCAAAACATTATTGAACTGAATATATACAAAGGGTGCATAATGGCAGAATGCACTAACTCTTTTCCCCATTCATATATTTTTTTGTTGTGGTAAAATACGTATAATATAAAATTTGCCATTTTAACCATTTTTAAGTGGCATTAAATACATGCAGTTTGGTGACACTAATTTCATTAACACTGCTTTGCAATCATCACCATTATACGCTCTTTTTCAATTTATTTTTTTAATTGACAAGTAAAAATTATACATATTTATGGTGTTCAACATGATGTTTTGATATATGTATACTTTATGGAATGGCTAAATCAAGCTATTTAAAATAGATAATACCTCATGTACTTATTTTTTTGTGTTGAGAACACTCAAAATCTATTCTCTCAGCAATTTTCAAGTGTACAATATATTGTGATTACCTATAGTCACCATGATATATAGAATACATCTTTTGAATGTATTCCTCCTGTGGAACAGAAATTTTGTGTTGATATTTTGACCAACTTCTTCCCAATCCCCCCAGCCTCTGGTAACCACCATTTTACTCTGTTCCTATGAGTTTGACTTTTTTTAGATTCCATATATAGGTGAGACTATGTGGTATTTGTCTTTGTGTATCTGGCTTATTTCACTTAACATAATATCCTTCAGGTTCATCCATGTTGTCATAAATGACAAGATTTCCTTCTTTTTAAGGTTGAATGATATTCCGTTGTATATATACACATTTTCTTTATCCATTCATCCACTGATAGATACTGAGGTGGATTCCATTATGCTAACACTTAATGTGTTTTTTTAATAACTCCCCAAACTTGTTAATAACTCTTTTTTAAATTTTTTGAGATGGAGTTTTGCTCCATTGCTCAGGCTGAAGTGCAGTGGCACAATCTTAGCTCACTAAAACCTCCACCTCCTGGGTTCAAGTGATTCTCCTGCCTCAGCCTCCCAAGTAGCTGAGTTTACAGGTACCTGCCACCACGACCGGCTAATTTTTGTATTTTTAGGAGAGACGGGCTTTGACCATTTTGGCCAGGCTGGTCTTGAGCTCCTGATCTCATGTGTTCCACCCACCTCAGCCTCTCAATGTGCTGGGATTACAGGCATGAGCCACCACACCTGGCTGATAAACCTTAATGTTAATAAAAAGTTTCTTTACTTGGTAATTGGAATTGCATATTCTTTTAGTTGTGGATTAATTTTGCTTGAATTAACCATGTTAGTATTTGAAAATTCAGCATAAAGCCAGGAGTGATGGCTCATGCCTGTAGTCCCAGCACTTTGGGATGCCAAGGAGAGAGGATTTCTTGAACCCAGGAGTTCGAGACCAGCCTGGGCAACATAGTAAGACCCTACCTCTACAAAAAAAATTTTTTTTAAACTGGGCATGGTAGTATGTGCCTGTAATTCCAGCTACTTGGGAGGCCGAGGTGGGAGGATCACAGGGCTGTGTGAGCCATGATTGTGCCACTGCACTCCAGCTTGGGTGACAGAGTGAGACCTGAAAAAGAAAAGAAAAGAAAGAAGGAAAATGTAGCGTAAATGTGGCATAAAATTTACTTCTACAAAATAATTATATTTTAAATGAGAATTGCGGGGTATAGTGGTACATGCCTATAGTCCCAGCTACTTGAGAGGCTGAGATGGGAGGATTGCTTGAGCCCAGGAGTTCAATGCCAGCCTGGGCAACATAGCAAGACCCTGAACTATAAAAAAAAAGAAGGAAAAGAAAGAAATGAGAACAGTAGCTTTATATTAGTTAAGTGAGGCATGTTTGTCACTTCGTAGACTCATTTTTGTTCATGATTTTAGGCTAATATTTTCTTCTGAGAAATGTACATACATTTCTTTTGTCATGCTATTGAATAGCCCAACTGTGGTTTTATAACTTTTATAATCATAAATGTTTACTTAAATATTTATGCTTATGAAGCCTTTACACTGTGCTTGCTTAGTGATTTTAGTAAATCTCAACACTTTCCAAAAGATGGATGAGTAGAATGAAGTTGGCAACTTATTTTTTTATGTTTTAGAGTTAAATAGAATATCTTATGTCACACACATACACCCCCGGTTTTAACTGAGTACCTTAGAAGAGGTTTCTAATTTCACGATGTATGTCACACTTAACATGATATCCTTCAGGTTCATCCATGTTGTCATAAATGACAAGATTTCCTTATTTTTAAGGCTGAATGATATTCCATTGTATATATACACATTTTCTTTATCCATTCATCCATTGATAGATACTGAGGTCGATTCCATTATGCTAAAGCTCAATGTGTTTTTTTGTAACTCCCCAAACTTGTTAATGACTCTTTTTTTAATTTCCTAATGGTTTTAGGAAAGCTGCCATTTATTTATTTATTAAGTTTTGAGACGGAATTTTGTCCTTGTTGCCCCAGCTGGAGTGCAGTGGTACGATCTTGGCTCACTGCAACCTCCACCTCCAGGTTCCAGTGATTCTCCTGCCTCAGTCTCCTGAGTAGGTGGGATTACAGGCACCTGCCACCACGCCCAGCTAATTTTTGTATTTTTAGTAGAGATGGGGTTTCACCGTGTTGGCCAGTCTCAAACTCCTGACCTCGTGATCCACCCGCCTCGGCCTCCCAAAGTGCTGGGATTATAGGCGTGAGCCACCATGCTCGGCCCCATCTCTTTTTTAAAAAGTGTTAATGGAATCATTTTCCCATCTCATATATCTCCCCACCGTCAGGCTGTGCCAGGGCTTAGAAAGAGATGCTGCTTCTCTTCCTGCCTTGTGTGGCAAGTTTCTTTGCAGCAGACCTTTCAGATATTTGTTCCCATTCACAGATGGCAGCCTGACTGTTCTCAGGGAAGCTAGTCATTGATTTTCACTCAACGAAAAAAGCTGAGGCAGGCCTTCTCTTCAGTTGCAAGGTTGGGTTTCTGGTACATGGTGTCTATTTGTCTTCTGTTCGCTATGTACTAAACTTAGAGTTTTAGCTTAACTCTATTTTTGCTCCATCTTTTTCAGTAATTTGGGGCTGCTGAGTGCTTACCTGACTGACTGCTTCAGCTTATAGTTTCTATATATTCTTTAATCTTGCTCCATTTTGTCATTCTTTTCTTTGCCTCAGTTTGCCCAGTTCCTGCTGACCACCCCATTCTTCCAGACTACATTGCTCACCAGACTGCTTCACAGCAAATAGAAATCAGAAATCAGGTCTTCATCATAGGACATAAGAAGTATATCCTAGAAGAAGCTACAGCCCGCTACAGTTCTCCAATCTTTAGGCCAAGGCTTTTTGTATCATCTAAAATGCTGCAGTTGTAGTTAGATTCAGCACTGGTCACAGCCTCACCTTCCTGTTTCCTTTCACTGCCATCTGGCTACATTAGCAGTGTCTCCACACAATGGATTTTTGAAAAAATTAGTGTCTACTCTTCTGTCAGCATCTACTACCTGTTTTTCTTAGGCCCACCCTTCTGGATGCTGCTTCATATATCTCTCTGTTACAGCCACTTTGACATGGCGTTTTCCAATCTGGCTACTGTCAGTGCCTGCAAGCAAGCCAGAGCCAGAATTTTTATAGATTTGTGTTTTAACAAAGCCCAGTTCTACAAGTACAATGTCAACTCAGGTACCTTACTATTGGCGCCCTACTCAATAGCTAGGCTCCTCTCTCCTAACCTTTAGAGAAAGGAATGAGGCATTGAAGCTGTTCTGTTTGTGCCAAGGTCTGAACTAAGATATCTGAGAATAACTCGGCCTTTCAGCTGTCCCAGTAGTATTGTGTACTCCGAAATCCCATTCCTTGTGTACAAACTGATGGCTTAGATCTATTAGTCCATTTTATCTCAGGCCTTTGTGCCCTCAGAAAAAGAATGAAGGCCTGGAGACTCTGGCTTCTTCCAATGTTGCTTTCCCTTTCCCTTAACTTAGGGACATTTTTCCTTGAGTAGGGTTACTGGGTGTGAGATACCATTTATATGACTTTTCACCCCAAGCTTTAGCATCAGAGGGAACTTTGAAGGTTCTTCCCTAGAGAGACATCTTAGTCTGAGCAGCATCTCTGCACCACTTTGGCTTTTTGCCCTGCTAGAGAGTTCGTTCTTTTGGCAGTTTTTAGACCACCACCTAGACTCAACTAGGATGCATCATTAATTAATCTAAGTGCCCTGGAACCTTCTTAAGCCTGAACTTGGGTATGAACCTACTTATTCCCATATTCCTTAAAGTGCACCAGGAAGATTTAGACAGATCTTGTCTGGACTCCTTACTCCCCTGCCATATTGAAATGCTGGGGTGATCAGTCATGACTGGGAGATCTTGCATTTCTTCATCTCTGTTACAGTCTGGTGACTATGCCATTCTATGGCATGCACTTTCTGTCTCCAACACAAAACAGCCTCGGGGAGTGGTGGTGGTGGTAATCCTAGATGTGTTCCTAATGCATCCTCTGCTTCCACTTAGCAGAATGATAGTGGCTTCCCTAAAACTCCATTGGCTCCCCAGCTGCCTACAAAGTAGTCAGATTCCAAAGCAGTAGTAGAGACGTATGGAATGGAAATTCTTTCTCATTCATCATGTACTTGTCATATTCCATTCTGGCACCCTGAGTCCCTTTTACTGTGTTTACTTTCTCTTGGATTCTGTGCTTGGGCTGGAAGATGAAGGGGAGGGAAA